CGCAATGCCCTCCGGTCTCCTACAATGCCTCCCAACCACCTACGGCACCTCCTAGCCTCCGCAATGCCCTCCGGTCTCCTACAGTGCCTCCCAACCTTCTACGGCACCTCCTAGCCTCCACAATGCCCTCCGGTCTCCTACGGTGCCTCCCCAACCCCCTACGGCACCTCCTAGCCTCTGCAATGCCCTCCTCCCATCTCCTACAGTGCCTCCCAACCCCCTACTGCACCTCCTAGCCTCCGCAATGCCCTCCGGTCTCCTACGGTGCCTCCCAACTGCCTACGGCACCTCCTAGCCTCTGCAATGCCCTCCCATCTCCTACAGTGCCTCCCAACCCCCTACTGCACCTCCTAGCCTCCGCAATGCCCTCCGGTCTCCTACAGTGCCTCCCAACCCCCTACTGCACCTCCTAGCCTCCACAATGCCCTCCAGTCTCCTACAGTGCCCCTGCAAAGCCGCCAGCCTCCTGGAGAGACTACAGTCTCCTAGTCGCCTCCAGAAAACCTCCACAAGGCCACCATATCTGCTTCTGAGCCCCCTACCCATCCCCCAGGCCTTCCTATTACCGCTGACAGGTTCACTTTAAAAGTCACCAGGCGGAGGCTTCTCATTCCAGTCTTTTTTTATACGCCGGCGAGAGGCGAGGGTCCAGGGGACGCGGGTTGACAGCGTGCGATCTTTGTACGGTCGCCAGGACGGAGCTCTAAATATACCGTCATGAGTCGGAAGTCCTCTTATAATAGATATTGTTTCCTGAACCCGCCAGGTGTGAGCGCCATTCATCCCTCCTGGCAGATTCGTAGACGATCGCCTATCGGTCCCTCAGCGGCTGGGAACTTCGCGGCTTGTTTCCTGAACCCGCCAGGTGTGAGCGCCATTCATCCCTCCTGGCAGGATTCGTAGACGATCGCCTATCGGTCCCTCAGGGCTGGGAACTTCGCGGCTTGTTTCCTGAACCCGCCAGGTGTGTGAGCGCCATTCATCCCTCCCTGGCAGGATTCGTAGACGATCGCCTATCGGTCCCTCAGCGGCTGGGAACTTCGCGGCTTGTTTCCTGAACCCGCCAGGTGTGAGCGCCATTCATCCCTCCAGGCAGGATTCGTAGACGATCGCCTATCGGTCCCTCAGCGGCTGGGAACTTCGCGGCTTGTTTCCTGAACCCGCCAGGTGTGAGCGCCATTCATCCCTCCAGGCAGGATTCGTAGACGATCGTCTATCGGTCCCTCAGGGGCTGGGAACTTCGCGGCTTGTTTCCTGAACCCGCCAGGTGTGTGAGCGCCATTCATCCCTCCCTGGCAGGATTCGTAGACGATCGCCTATCGGTCCCTCAGCGGCTGGGAACTTCGCGGCTTGTTTCCTGAACCCGCCAGGTGTGAGCGCCATTCATCCCTCCCTGGCAGGATTCGTAGACGATCGCCTATCGGTCCCTCAGCGGCTGGGAAACTTCGCGGCTTGTTTCCTGAACCCGCCAGGTGTGAGCGCCATTCATCCCTCCAGGCAGGATTCGTAGACGATCGCCTATCGGTCCCTCAGCGGCTGGGAACTTCGCGGCTTGTTTCCTGAACCCGCCAGGTGTGAGCGCCATTCATCCCTCCAGGCAGGATTCGTAGACGATCGTCTATCGGTCCCTCAGGGGCTGGGAACTTCGCGGCTTGTTTCCTGAACCCGCCAGGTGTGAGCGCCATTCATCCCTCCCTGGCAGGATTTGTAGACGATCGCCTATCGGTTCCTCAGCGGCTGGGAACTTCGCGGCTTGTTTCCTGAACCCGCCAGGTGTGAGCGCCATTCATCCCTCCCTGGCAGGATTCGTAGACGATCGCCTATCGGTCCCTCAGGGGCTGGGAACTTCGCGGCTTGTTTCCTGAACCCGCCAGGTGTGAGCGCCATTCATCCCTCCCTGGCAGGATTTGTAGACGATCGCCTATCGGTCCCTCAGCGGCTGGGAACTTCGCGGCTTGTTTCCTGAACCCGCCAGGTGTGAGCGCCATTCATCCCTCCCTGGCAGGATTCGTAGACGATCGCCTATCGGTCCCTCAGCGGCTGGGAACTTCGCGGCTTGTTTCCTGAACCCGCCAGGTGTGAGCGCCATTCATCCCTCCCTGGGCAGGATTCGTAGACGATCGCCTATCGGTCCCTCAGGGGCTGGGAACTTCGCGGCTTGTTTCCTGAACCTGCCAGGTGTGAGCGCCATTCATCCCTCCAGGCAGGATTCGTAGACGATCGCCTATCGGTCCCTCAGCCGCTGGGAACTTCGCGGCTTGTTTCCTGAACCCGCCAGGTGTGAGCGCCATTCATCCCTCCAGGCAGGATTCGTAGACGATCGTCTATCGGTCCCTCAGCCGCTGGGAACTTCGCTTCGTTATATTCCGGGAGTCCAGACCTTCTGCTGCCCCGTATTGATCTAACCCGGCAAAGAGGACCTGTCATTGTACTGTGCCCACCTACCTACCCCCAACAATGCGACCCTAGGTGAAAACCGTCGCCTCTGGATTTGGGGTCGGGGGTTTTCTTCAGATTATGTGAGATCTTCGTTCAGAACGAATGCAGAGTACACCTACGACAGAGGCGCCATCTTCACCGGGGGGGTATGGGCTTTATTGGAGGGAGGCAGGGGCTGATTGCCTTCAGACTGTCTCTCTCTAATTGAAACACAGAGCCGCGAAGGGGGGAGTCACTCCTCTCTGTCGGTACTTGTATCACCCCACTACCTGAGCCGTCTCCTGTCTGATCCCTCTTCCCTCCCCATCTATGGAGCTTTCAGAAAGTATTCAGACCCCCTTCGCTTGTTTCAATGCCCCCCTTCCCCCGTACTGACAACGTGAAAACGGAATTCTAGAAATGCCTTCGAATTTGTCAATAATGAAAAACGGAAATGTCACATCGGCAGAAGTATTCAGACCTTTGGAATTGAGCTCAGGTGCCTCCAGGGGCAGACTGACAACTCTTGGGGCCCCCGGGCAATAGGGGATCCTGGGGCCCCTGTGTCCTTGCCCACACTCAAAGCACACCCAAAAAAGCCTATAAAAGGTACCAGGGGCATTTCATGGGGCCCCCCACTGACCCTGGGCCCTCGGGCAGTGCCCAAGTGCTCAAATGGTCAGTCCGCACCTGGGTGCCTCCCATTTCCCTCAATGGTTGCTGAGATGTTTCTACGCCTTGATTGGAGTCCGCCTGTGGTGAATCGCATTGATTGGACAGGATTTGGAAAGGCCCGCCCCTCTCTGTAACAGGCTTCACAGCTGACAATGCGTACTGTATCAGAGCAAAAGCCATGAGGTCAAAGGAACCGCCTGCAGAGCTCAGAGACAGGATTATTGTACGGCACAGATCTGGGGAAGGCTACATTTCTGCTGCACTGAAGGTCCTCAAGAGCACAGTGACCTCCATAATTCTCAAATGGATGAAGTTTGGCACAACCAGGACTCTTCCAAGAGCTGGACTCCCGGCCAAACTGAGGAGCCTCAATAAGAGAGGTGACCAAGAACCCGATGGTCACTCTGACTGAGCTCCAGAGATCCTGTGTGGAGATGGGACAAAGATCCACGAGGACGATCATTACTGAAGTTCTCCACCCATCTGGAGGCCAGACAGAAGCCTCTCCTCAGTTCAAAACACATGAAAGCCCACTGAGAGTCCTTCACGTGTTTTGCAAACTCCAAGTGGTCTTTAATATGTTTTTGCACTGAGGAGAGCCTTCCGCCTCACCACTCAGCCATAAAGCCCAGATCGATGGAGGGCTGCAGTGATGGTCGTCCTTCTGGATCTTTGTCCCACCTCCACACAGGATCTCTGGAGCTCACAGTGACCATCGGGTTCTTGGCCACCTCTCATACTAAGGCCCTTCTCCCCCCGATGGCTCAGTTTGGCCGGGCGACCAGTTCTTGGAAGACTCCTGGCTGTGCCTAACTTCTTCTATTTGACAATTATGGAGACCACTGTGCTCTGGGGAACCTTCAATGCAGCAGAACTGCCAGCAGAGCTCAGAGACAGGATTATTGCAAGGCACGGATCTGGGGAAGGCTACATTTCTGCTGCACTGAAGGTTCCCAAGAGCACAGTGGTCTCCATAATTCTAAAATAGAAGAAGTTTGGCACAACCAGGACTCTTCCAAGAGCTGGACGCCTGGCCAAACTGAGCTATCGGGGAGAAGAGCCTTAGTATGAGAGGTGGCCAAGAACCCGATGATCACTCTGAGCTCCAGAGATCCTGTGTGGAGATGGGACAAAGTTCCACAAGGACGATCATCACTGAAGTTCTCCACCCATCTGGAGGCCAGACAGAAGCCTCCCCTCAGTTCAACACGCATGAAAGCCCACTGAGAGTCCTTCACGTGCTTTTTTGAAAACTCCAAGTGGTCTTTCATGTGTTTTACAGACTTCCGCCTCACCACTCAGCCATGAAGCCCAGATCGATGGAGGGCTGCAGTGCTGGTCGTCCTTCTGGATCTTTGTCCCACCTCCACACAGGATCTCTGGAGCTCGGAGTGACCATGACCATCGGGTTCTTGGTCACCTCTCATACTAAGGCCCTTCTCCCCCGATGACTCAGTTTGGCCCGGGCGACCAGTTCTTGGAAGAGTCCTGGCTGTGCCAAACTTCTTCTATTTGAGAATTATGGAGACCACTGTGCTCTGGGGAACCCTTCAGTGCAGCAGAAATGTAGCCTTCCCCAGATCTGTGCCGTACAATAATCCTGTCTCTGAGCTCTGCAGGCGGTTCCTTTGACCTCATGGCTTTTGCTCTGATACAGTACGCATTGTCTGCTGTGTAAGCCTTTTATAGAGAGGGGTGTGGCCTTTCCAAATCATTTGTCCAATCAATGGAATGTACCACAGGTGGCCTCCAATCACGGTGTAGAAACATCTCAGCATCCATCAGGAGATACTGGAGGCACCTGAGCTAAATTCCAAGGGTCTGAATACTTTCTGAATGCTCTGTATACCGTGATCACCCCCCCCCCCCGTCTATTGTCTGATCCACCGTCTCTCTCCTTCTCCTAGGACCCTCCCAGTCACCTGCAGCTCTCCCTGGTCATAAATGGAACTCGGATCCTGATGGACCTCCAGCAGAACCGGTACGTGTTCGGGTTATCAGGTGGGGGGTGTACGGAAGGCCCCAGAAGCCCCCAGTATAGACCCGTCACCCACCATAACTCCACCCTAGTGCACACTGGGAGGCCTGGAGCCCATGGTATGTACCAGTCAGTGACAGGTCCTCCTCAGGACTCCCTGTACTTTGGTTTAGGGTGGCAGGAACGGTAAAGAGTTGGATGGGGGGGGGTTCTCACCCCGAGAATTGGGCAATGTGTGTGGAGGTGGGGGGGCAACCTCGAGAAATTGGGCAATGTGTGTGGAGGTGGGGGGGCAACCTCGAGAATTGGGCAATGTGTGTGGAGGTGGGGGGGCAACCTCGAGAATTGGGCAATGTGTGTGGAGGTGGGGGGGCAACCTCGAGAATTGGGCAATGTGTGTGGAGGTGGGGGGGCAACTTCGAGAATTGGGCAATGTTTGTGGAGGTGGGGGGGCAACCTCGAGAATTGGGCAATGTGTGTGGGGGGGGGGGGGGGGTTCAGGTTCTCAGAATTGAATGATGTGGGGGGGTTCAGGTTCTCAGAATCAAGCGATGTGGGGGCTGGGGGGGTTCAGGTTCTCAGAATTGGATGATGTGGGGGGGGGGGTTCAGGTTCTCAGAATCGGGCAATGTGTATTGGGGGGCGGGGGGTTCAGGTTCTCAGAATCAGGCGATGTCGGGGGGGGGGGGGGGGGTTCAGGTTCTCAGAATTGGGTGATGTGGGGGGGGGGTTCAGGTTTCAGAATTGGATGATGTGGGGGGGGGGGGTTCAGGTTCTCAGAATCGGGCGATGTGTATTGGTGGGCGGGGGGTTCACGTTCTCAGAATCAGGCGATGTGGGGGGGGGGGGGTTCAGGTTCTCAGAATCAGGCAATGTGGGGGGGGGGGGGGGGGGGGGTTCAGGTTCTCAGAATCAGGCGATGTGGGGAGGGGGGGGTTCAGGTTCTCACAATTGGGTGATGTGGGGGGGGGGGTTCAGGTTCTCAGAATCGGGCGATGTGTATTTGGGGGGCCGGGGGTTCAGGTTCTCAGAATCAGGCGATGTGGGTGGGGGGGGGGGGGGGTTCAGGTTCTCAGAATTGGATGATGTGGGGGGGGGGTTCAGGTTCTCAGAATCGGGCGATGTGTATTGGGGGGCGGGGGGTTCAGGTTCTCAGGGGTTCCTCGAATCAGGCGATGGGGGGGGGGGGGGGTTCAGGTTCTCAGAATTGGGTGATGTGGGGGGGGGGTTCAGGTTCTCAGAATCAGGCGATGTGGGGGGGGGGGGGATTCAGGTTCTCAGAATTGGGTGATGTGGGGGGGGGGTTCAAGTTCTCAGAATCGAGCGATGTGGGGGGGGGTTCAGGTTCTCAGAATTAGGTGATGTGGGGGGGGGGGGGGGGGTTCAGGTTCTCAGAATTAGGTGATGTGGGGGGGGGGGGGGGTTCAGGTTCTCAGAATCGGGCGATGTGGGGGTTGGGGGGCGGGGGGGGGGGGGGTTCAGGTTCTCAGAATTAGGGGGGGTGGGGGGGGGGGGGGGTTCAGGTTCTCAGAATCGGGCGATGTGTGTTGGGGGGCGGGGGGGGGGGGGTTCAGGTTCTCAGAATTAGGTGATGTGGGGGTGGGGGGGGGGTTCAGGTTCTCAGAATTGGGTGATGTGGGGGGGGGGGGTTCAGGTTCTCAGAAATCGGGCGATGTGTGTTGGGGGGGCGGGGGGGGGGGTTCAGGTTCTCAGAATTAGGTGATGTGGGGGGGGGGGTTCAGGTTCTCAGAATTGGGTGATGTGTGGGGGGGGGGTTCAGGTTCTCAGGAATTCGGGCGAGTGTATTGGGGGGGGGGGGGGGGGTTCAGGTTCTCAGAATTGGGTGATGTGGGGGGGGGGTTCAGGTTCTCAGAATCGGGCAATTGTGTGTTGGGGGGCGGGGGGGGGGGGGTTCAGGTTCTCAGAATTAGGTGATGTGGGGGTGGGGGGGGGGTTCAGGTTCTCAGAATTGGGTGATGTGGGGGGGGGGGGGGGGTTCAGGTTCTCAGAATCGGGCGATGTGTGGGGGGGCGGAGGGGGGTTCAGGTTCTCAGAATTGGGTGATGTGGGGGGGGGGGTTCAGGTTCTCAGAATCGGGCGATGTGTGTTGGGGGGCGGTGGGGGGGGGGGGGGTTCAGGTTCTCAGAATTAGGTGATGTGGGGGTGGGGGGGGGGGGTTCAGGTTCTCAGAATTAGGTGATGATGTTGGGGGGGGGGGGGGGGTTCAGGTTCTCAGAATTAGGGCGATGTGTGGGGGGGGGGGGGTTCAGGTTCTCAGAATTTTAGGGCGATGTGTGGGTGGGGGGGGGGGGGGGTTCAGGTTCTCAGAATTAGGTGGCAATGATGGACTGTTGGGGGGGGGGGGGGGGGTTCAGGTTCTCAGGAATTGGGGTGATGTGTGGGGGGGGGTTCAGGTTCTCAGAATCGGGCGATGTGTGTTGGGGGGCGGGGGGGGTTCAGGTTCTCAGAATTAGGTGATGTGGGGGTGGGGGGGGGGGTTTCAGGTTCTCAGAAATCGGGCGATGTGGTTGGGGGGCGGGGGGGGGGTTCAGGTTCTCAGAATCGGGCGATGTGTGTTGGGGGGCGGGGGGGGGGGTTCAGGTTCTCAGAATTAGGTGATGGGTGATGGGGGGGGGGGGGGGGGGGTGATGGTGGGGGGGGGTTCAGGTTCTCAGAATCGGGCGATGTGTGTTGGGGGGCGGGGGGGGGGGGGGGGGGGTGGGGGGGGGTTCAGGTTCTCAGAATTAGGTGTGATGTGGGGGTGGGGGGGGGTTCAGGTTCTCAGAATCGGGTGATGTGTGTGATCCAACCTGGGGGTTCAGGGTTCTCAGAAATCGATCGTTTGTACGGGGTTTGGTTCAGGTCCTCGGGTCGGAGATTCCGTTTTCTCGGCGGTTGGGTGACACAGGTTCTCAGAATGTTAGAAACGGGGGGGGGGTTTGACACAACTTTCTCAGCCTTTAATGTGTGGCGGTGGGGTTGTGTGTGGTGTGGGGGGGGGTTGGGGGGGGGGGTGGGGGGCGATTCGGTGTAGGGGATGGTTGGCTCGGAATCTGTTGAGTTAGGGGGGATGGTTGGCTCAGATGGTGTAGGGGATGGTTGGTTCGGATCTCGGTTTGTAGGGATGGTTGGCTCAGATCTCGGTGTAGGGGATGGTTGGCTCGGATCTCGGGTCGGGGGATGGTTGGCTCGGATCTCGGTGTAGGGGATGGTTGGCTCGGATCTCGGTGTAGGTGATGGTTGGTTGGTCTCGGTGTAGGGGGTATGGTTGGTTCGGATCTCGGTGTAGGGGATGGTTGGCTCGGTCTCGGAAATAGGGGGATGGTTGGTTCGGATCTCGGTTGTAGGGGACGGTTGGCTTGGATCTCGGTGTAGGGGATGGTTGGCTCCTCGGATCTCGGTGTAGGGGATGGTTGGCTCGGATCTCGGTGGTGTATGGGGATCCGGTGGTTGGCTTGGTCTCGGTGTAGGGGATGGTTGTGGCTCGGATTCTCGGTGTAGGGGATGGTTGGTTCGGATCTCGGTGTAGGGGATGGTTGGCTCGGTCTCGGTGTAGGGGATGGTTGGTTCGGATCTCGGTGTAGGGGATGGTTGGCTCGGATCTCGGTGTAGGGGATGGTTGGCTCGGATCTCGGTGTAGGGGATGGTTGGTTCGGATCTCGGTGTAGGGGATGGTTGGCTCGGATCTCGGTGTAGGGGATGGTTGGCTCGGATCTCGGTGTAGGGGATGGTTGGCTCGGATCTCGGTGTAGGGGATGGTTGGCTCGGATCTCGGTGTTAGGGGATGGTTGGCTCGGATCTCGGTGTAGGGGATGGTTGGTCGGATCTCGGTGTAGGGGATGGTTGGCTCGGATCTCGGTGTAGGGGATGGTTGGCTCGGATCTCGGTGTAGGGGATGGTTGGCTTCGGGATCTCGGTTGGGGATGGTTGGTTCGGATCTCGGTGTAGGGGATGGTTGGTTCGGATCTCGGTGTAGGGGATGGTTGGTTCGGATCTCGGTGTAGGGGATGGTTGGCTCGGATCTCGGTGTAGGGGATGGTTGGCTCGGATCTCGGTGTAGGGGATGGTTGGCTCGGATCTCGGTGTAGGGGATGGTTGGCTCGGATGTCGGTGTAGGGGATGGTTGGCTCGGATCTCGGTGTAGGGGGATGGTTGGCTCGGATCTCGGTGTAGGGGATGGTTGGCTCGGATCTCGGTGTAGGGGATGGTTGGCTCGGATCTCGGTGTAGGGATGGTTGGTTCGGATCTCGGTGTAGGGGATGGTTGGCTTGGATCTCGGTGTCGGTGTAGGTGATGGTTGGTTCGGATTCGGGTGTAGGGGATGGTTGGTTCGGGATCTCGGTGTGTAGGGGATGGTTGGCTCGGATCTCGGTTAGTGTAGGGGATGGTTGGCTCGGATCTCGGTGTAGGGGATGGTTGGCTCGGATCTCGGTGTAGGGGATGGTTGGCTCGGATCTCGGTGTAGGGGATGGTTGGTTCGGATCTCGGTGTAGGGGATGGTTGGCTCGGATCTCGGTGTAGGGGGGATGGTTGGCTCGGATCTCGGTGTAGGGGATGGTTGGCTCGGATCTCGGTGGTTTCGAATGTAGGTGATGGTTGGTTCGGATCTCGGTGTAGGGGATGGTTGGCTCGGATCTCGGTGTAGGGGATGGTTGGCTCGGATCTCGGTGTAGGGGATGGTTGGTTCGGATCTCGGTGTAGGGGATGGTTGGCTCGGATCTCGGTGTAGGGGATGGTTGGCTCGGATCTCGGTGTAGGGGATGGTTGGCTCGGATCTCGGTGTAGGGGATGGTTGGCTCGGATCTCGGTGTAGGGGATGGTTGGCTCGGATCTCGGTGTAGGGGATGGTTGGCTCTGGTCTCGGTGTAGGGGATGGTTGGCTCGGATCTCGGTGTAGGGGATGGTTGGCTCTGGTCTCGGTGTAGGACATAGTTGGCGGAGATCCTGGCTCAGGACATTTTTGGCTCGGATCCTCGGTTGGCGCGGGGGGGGAGGTGTGAGCGATGACTATCGGAGGTGCTGATCTGGCCAGTCGGAGGGGCCGGGCCGGATGGGAGGTTTCGGCACACAATGACGGGTGTCAGAGAAAACAGAAACGTTTTATTTACAGAGTCGGAGAATTTCCTCTCTGCCCTTTGAGGAGATCTAGCGGGGGGGGGGGGGGGGGGGGGGGGGGGGGGGGGAATTCAGGCCGGGAGACGCCGGGGAATTGGATGGGAAATAGATGGATGGAGACCTCCAGGAGACCCCCGTCCTCAGGAACTGCACTCAGCACTCAGACCAGCTGAGGAAACACGGGAGCCGCTGGAAGGCCATCAAACGGGGCCCCGCATTGCCCTTATTGCCCCGCCACACCGATCTCACAGGAGGGACTTCCCAGTGTATGACGGAGGAGGAACTCCGACCAGATCTGGCCCTGTGTAGAGAGGGACCATTACTGGGACTGGAGGACCACCCGGGGCCCCAGGATGGAACCCCAATCCTAGAGCTCCCCCAGTCACTAGTACGAAGGAGAACCCCAACTGGAACCCCAACCCAATGATGACCATACATTCTATCAATTCCAAATTCGATCACTAGGTGGCCCCAGCAGTGCCCATCCTACCAACATCCCTCCCTCCCTCCCCCCAACGTCCCTCCCTCCCTCCCTCCCCTCCCAACGTCCCTCCCCCCCTCCCAACGTCCCTCCCTCCCTCCGACCCAACGTCCACCCAACGTCCTTCCCTCCAACGTCCACCCACCCATCCCTGTCCCTCCCACCCACTGTCCCTCCCACCCACGTCCCTCCCACCCAAATCCCTCCCTCCCTCCCACCCACCCAACGTCCCTCCCTCCCTCCCTCCCTAAAACGTCCCTCCCCCCACCCACCCAACGTACCTCCCTCCCAAATCCCTTCCCTCCCCCACCCACCATCCCCCCCCACCCACGTCCCCTCCCTCCCACCCAACGTCCCTCTCTCCCACCCAACGTCCCTCCCTCCCACTCACCCACCCAACGTCCCCGCCCACCCAACATCCCCTCCCACCGACCCAACGTCTCTCCTCCCACCCAACATCCCTCCCACCGACCCAACTTCCCTCCCACCCAACATCCGACCCAATGTCCCTCCCACCAACGTCCCTCCCACCCACATCCCTGTCCCACCGACCCAACGTCCCTCCCACCCACCCACGTCCCCCCACCCACCCCACTGTCCCTCCCACCCACTGTCCCTCCCACCCAACGTCCCTCCCACCCACCGTCCCTCCCACCCACCGTCCCTCTCTCCCACCCAACGTCCCTCCCTCTCTCCCCACCAACCCACCCAACGTCCCTCCCTCCCAACGTCCCTCCCTAAAACGTCCCTCCCTCCCACCCACCCCCAACGTACCTCCCTCCCAACTTCCCTCCTTCCCACCCACCATCCCTCCCACCCAACGTCCCTCCTCCCACCCAACGTCCCTCCTCCCACCCAACGTCCCTCCCTCCCACCCTCCCCCCCAACGTCCCGCCCACCCAACCCCTCCCACCGACCAACGTCTCTCCCTCCCACCCAACATCCCTCCCACCGACCCAACTTCGCCCCACCCAACATCCGACCCAATGTCCCTCCCACCCAACGTCCCTCCCACCCAACATCTCCCCCACCGACCCAACGTCCCTCCCTCCCCACCCAACATCCCTCCCACCCACCCAACGTCCCTCCCACCGACCCAACATCCCACCCATCCACCCAACATCCCTCCCCACCCAACATCCCGTCCCACCCACCCAACGTCCCTCCCCACCCAACGTCCCACCCAACATCCCTCCCCACCGACCCAACGTCCCTCCCACCGACCCAACGTCCCTCCCTCCCACCCAACGTCCCTCCCTCCCACCCAACGTCCCCTCCCCCCGACCCAACGTCCCTCCCACCGACCCAACGTCCCTCCCTCCCACCCAACGTCCCTCCCTCCCACCCAACGTCCCTCCCACACCACCCAACGCCCCAAACGTCCCTCCCACCCAACATCCCTTCCCCCCCCCCCCTCCCAACATCCCTTCCACCCACCCACCCACCACATCCCTCCACCCACCCACCCAACATCCCTCCACCACCGACCCAACATCCCCTTCCACCCACCCACCACCCAACATCCCTTCCCCACCACCCAACATCCCCTCCACCCCCAACGTCCCTCCCACCGACCCAACATCCCTCCCACCCCGACCCAACCCTCCCTCCCCGACCCACATCCCTCCACCGACCCAACATCCCTCCCTCCCACCCAACCCCCTCCCACCGACCCAACATCCCTTCCACCGACCCAACATCCCTCCCACCCACCCAACATCCCTCCCCTCCCACCCAACATCCCTTCGACCCCACATCCCACCCACCCTCCCTCCCATCCACCCAACGCCCCCCCCACCCACCCAACATCCCTTCCACCCACCCCCCAACATCCCTTCCACCCACCCACCCAACATCCCTTCCACCGACCCAACATCCCTTCCACCGACCCAACATCCCTTCCACCGACCCAACATCCATCCCACTGACCCAACATCCCTCCCTCCCACCCAACATCCCACCGACCCAACATCCCTCCCACCCACCCAACGTCCTCATAGGATACCCCATATAACCCCCCCTCCCCCCCATCTCCATTATTGGCTGTAAGAATTTATAACTCCGCCCCCCTTCTTTTTCAGACACCTGACTCCAGACTTCCACACGTTGTCCTTCTACCTCCCGGACGGGACTCTTGTGACAGAGAACCGCCCTCAGCGGGTAAGGCAGGGTGCAACAGGCGTAGCGGTGGGAGGCGGCCCCGCATCGGCCTGCCATGTGCGCTTCTTCAGGGGAATGGTATTTTCAGAACCGGTCTCCTCTCATTACAGGTGAGCTGCTATTATCAGGGACGGCCGGAGGGACACAGCGGGCCCTGGAGTAGCCTCAGTCTCTGCTCCGGACTCAGGTAATGAGATCACCGACGCGTTTCATACCAACAATGTACAGGATGAGAGAGACTCCACCCACCTAAGGGCCACGCCCACTCTCCAGATGTGATATATTCTACAAATGACAGGTCACATGTATTGGATAATGTGGCGACACCCCCTTCTGGTGTTCAAGCTGCAGGGGTGTGGTCACTTTGGAGGCGGAGCAGCAGTTTCATACCAACAATGTACAGGATGGGAGAGACTACGCCCACCTTAGGGCCACTCCACTCTCCAGATATAACATATTCTACAAATGACGGGTCACATATATCGGATGAGGTGGCGACGCCCCCTTCCGATGTTCATGTTGCAGGGGGTGTGGTCATTTTGGAGGCGGAGCAGTAGTTCCATACCAACAATGTACAGGTTGGGAGAGACTCCTCCCATTTAAGGGCCACTCTCTAGATATGACGGGTCACATGTATCGGATGAGGTGGCGACGCCCCCTTCCGGTGTTCATGTTGCAGGGGTGTGGTCATTTTGGAGGCGGAGCAGTAGTTCCCATGTACAGGTTGGGAGAGACATTTAAGGGCAATCTCTAGATATGACACATGGATGGCGACGCCCCCTTCCGAGAGAGGGGTGTGTCCGGAGAAGCAGTTTCCATCAATTAGTGCCACTCCCACTCTCCAGATGAGGTTGTGATGCCCCCTTCCTGTGTTCATGTTGCAGGGGTGTGGTCATTTTGGAGGCGGAGCAGCAGTACAGCATCGAGCCGGTCCCGGGGGATCTATCCTTTAAGCACATACTTCGACCAATCAGTGATCATCGGAACATGACTTGTGAGACGCAGGACACGCCCCCTGGTACATCTACCAATCAGAAGACTGGGAGGACTCTGCTAAGTATGGGAGACCCCCAACCCAGCCAAGAGGATGTGGCGTTACCACCCCGGCAGGAGGATCCTCCCACCAGGTGAGTGGTGGGCGGAGCTGGGAATCCCAGACTCACGGAAATGTCCTTTTACCCCCTTTTGTGTGTCTTCCAGGCGCAGGGGGGCGGGGCCGACGAGACCAAGTACGTGGAGCTGGTGTTGGTGGCTGACCATAGCGAGGTGGGTGTGGGTCTCGCCATTGGCCGTGTCATGTGATGGCGTCGGCCGCCATACTCACGTTCTCTTCCATCTTTACAGTATGAGTTGTATAACCGCGACCTGAGCACCCTCCACAGCCGGACCCTGGAGATCGCCAACCGGATGGACGCCGTGAGTCGCCGCAATCATTTATTATTTATTCATTTTACAGATTATTTATCATCTCCTCTTTTTGTATATAAATTGACCTTTTTTCTTATCCCATTTTAATTTATTATTTATTATTATTCCTTTTTATTGAATATTTAGTTTAATACATATTAAATAAAAATAATAATCATTATTTAGTTTTTTTTTTTAATTAGGAACCCTTATTTTTTGTTTGTCTACAAAGTGATCTTTTTTTTTTTTTTATCTTGCATTTATTTTATTTTTTTTAATTAATTTTATTTCTTTTTAATTACTTTTATATATTATTTTTTCTTTTTTTTTTTTTTTTTTTTGTCTACAAAGTGATCTTTTTTTTTTAATCTTGCATTTATTTTATTTTTTTTTAATGAATTTTATTCTTTTTAATTTGTTTTATATGTTCTCTTTTTTTTTTCATTTTTTTTTTTTTTTTTTTTTATATATTTTTAAAATATTTTCAATTTTATTTATTTTTTTTATTTTTTTTGTTTTATTTCTTTTTTAAAATAGGAGCCCTTGTTATATCATTCCCTCATTTTTTAGATAAAGTGACACTTTTTCTCCCTATTTGTTTTTTTTTTTTGTTTAATTTTTTACTATTTCTTTTTTTTTTTTTTTTAGTTGATTTAATTAAATAGTTTTATGTACATTTTTTTTTCAAAATAAGGAACCCTTTTTTTTTTTCATTTCCCTAAATGTATATAACTTGACCATTTTTAAACTTTTTTTTTATAAATTTATGAATTTTTTTTTTTTGCTGTATTTATTTATTTTTTTCAATAAGGAACCTCCACTTTATCACTTTGTATAAAAAAAAGGAAACAATATTTTTTATCTTGCATTTATTTTATGAATTTTAATCTTTTTATTTAGTTATATATATATATATATTTTTTTTTTTTTTTTTTTCATTATATGGTTTATTTTTTTTTACATTAGGAACCCTTATTTTTTTATCATTCCCACATTTTGTAGATAAAGTGACCCGTTTTCTTAATCATTTATTTATTTATTCTTTTTTTTACTATTTTTTTTTTTTTTATTTATTTTTTTATTGTATTTATTTTTTTTTTTTTTTTTTTTTTTTTTTTATCATTTTTTTTTTTTTTTTTATATTTTTTTTTTTGACATTATTTTATTATTTTTTTATTTTTTTATTAATAATTTTTTTTTTTTTTTTATTTTTTTTAACTTTTATTTTTTTATTTTTTTTTATTTTTTTTATTTTTTTTTTTTTTATTTTTTTATTTTTTTTAATCATTTTTTATGTATTTTTTTTATTATTTTTTTTTTGTTTTTTTTTTACATTTTTAATTTTTTTTTTTTTTTATTTTTTTTCATTCCCTTTACACTCTGGTCCCCCTTTTTTTTTTTTTTTTTTTTTGAATGTTTGACCCTTTTTTTTTTTTTTTTTTTTCTGGAGTCAGAAGGATCGGGTTTTTTTTTTTTTATTTTTTTTTTTTTTTTTTTCTGAAAACCGATTCCTGTCCTGGAGGGAGAAGGAGCTCCTTTTTTTTATCCGGCATGACGACGCCCAGCTCCTTTTTTGAGTGGCCGCGCGGTTTTTTTTTTTTTGTTTTTTTTTTTTTTTTGTGACCAGGCTTGCCGGATTTTTTTTCTCATATTAAACATATTTTTTTTTTTTTGTATCATTTTTTTTTTTTTTTTTTTTTTTTTTTTTTTTTTTTTGGTGTCAGTTTTTTTTTTTTTTTTTTTTACACCCCCAAATTTTGGTGTCAGGGAGATAGTTTTTTTTTTTTTTTTAGACCCCCACATTTTTGGTTCAGTGAGATAGGGGGCCCCCCAGGGGAGAATAGACCCCCAAATCATTGGTTTTCAGTGGGATAGTGGGCCCCCCAGGGGAGAATAGACCCCACATCATTGGTTTCAGTGAGATAGGGAAGCCCCCCAGGGGAGAATACACCCCCACATCATTGGTTTCAGTTTTTTTTTTTTTTTTTTTTTAGAATAGACCCCCACATCATTGGTTTCAGTTTTTAGTGGGCCCCCCAGGGGAGAATAGACCCCCACATCATTTTTGTCAGTGAGATAGGGAGCCCCCCAGGGGAAATAGACCCCCACATCATTTTTGTCCCCCCCAGGGGATTATTTGGTGGGCCCCCCAGGGGAGAATAGACCCCCACATCATTGGTGTCAGGGGATAGTTTTTTTTTTTTTTTTTTTAGCCCACCAAATCATTTTTGTTTTTTTTAGTTTTTTTTTTTTAGAATAGACCCCCACATTTTTTTTTTGTCAGTGAGTTTGTGGCCCCCACTTTTTTTTATCCCCACCTTCTCACAGTTCCTGGGAAATCGCAGTTTTTTGTTTTCTTTTTTTTGTTCTAGCCCCGCCCCCTTTAGTTCGCAGTCACGGAGGTCTCTTTTTTTGTCACAAGTCACGGATTTGGTTTTTTGTTTTTTTTTGACCTTTCGGGGTTTTTTGGGAATGGCGACTCTGGGCTTTTTTTTTACATTTTTTCGATTTTTTTAAAAGGGGGTCAGTTTTTTTGAGTTTTGTTTTTTTTTTTAAGGGGGAGGGGTCAGTTTGGTTTTTTTTGTCACACTAAGGGGGAGGGGTTTTTTTTGGTGAGTGATGTCACACTAAGGGGCAGGGGGTCAGCATTGAGTGATTTTTTTTTTTTTTTTTTTTTTTTTTTTTTAGTATGGTGAGTGATGTTTTTAAGGGGGAGGGGTCATATGGTGCGCGATGTCACACTAAGGGGGAGGGGTCAGTATGGTTTTTGATGTCACACTAAGGGGGAGGGGTCAGTATTTTGAGTTTGTCACACTAAGGGGGAGGGGTTTTTTTTGATTTCACACTTTTTTTTTTTTTCAGTATTTTGAGTGATGTTTTTTTTTTTTTTTTTTTTTTGGGGAGTGATGTTACACTAAGGGGGAGGGGTCAGTATTTTTTTTATTTTTTCACACTAAGGGGGAGGGGTTTTTATTTTTGATGTTTTTTTTTTAAGGGGGAGGGGTTTTATTTTTTTTTTGTCACACTAAGGGGGAGGGGTCAGCATTTTTTTTTTTCACACTTTTTTTTTTTTTTTTTTTCAGTATTTTTTTTGATGTCACACTAAGGGGGATTTCATTTTTTTTTGATGTCACACTTTTTTTTTTTTTTTTTTATTTTTTTTGATGTCACACTAAGGGGGAGGGGTCAGTTTTTTTTTTTTTTTTCACACTAAGGGGAGGGGTCAGTTTTATTGAGTGATGTTTTTTTTTTTTTTTTTTCAGTATTTTTTTTGATGTTACACTTTTTTTTTCAGTATTTTTTTTTTTTTTTCACACTAATTTTCAGTTTTTTTGAGTTTTTTTTCACACTTTTTTTTTTTCAGCATGGTGATTGATGTTTTTTTTTTTTTTTTTTTTTCACACTTTTTTTTCGGTTCTCTTTTTTGGCCAGTGACCCCTCCCTCAATGCATTTTTATATTTTTTTTTTTTTTTTTCCTCCCAGTGCGTTATCAGGACTGAGGGCTCCTGAGAGGAGTATGGAGGCGTTTTTTTTTTTTTTTTTTTTTTGTTATTTTTTTTTTATGTACAGCCCCCTGCCAGCCCATCCCACTAGCCATGATGTTCCTTTTTGGCATTGAGAAGCATAGAGACCCAGTGTGTAATGAAAATGGAAAGGCTCCTCCCCCGGCTCAGTGAGATTCCCCGCAGTGCCAGGATTTTTAGGGAGCCCCTTTTTTTGTGCCACCTGCAGGCCGGGACCTTTTTTTTTTTTTTTTTTTCATCTTCAGGGACAGCAATGGTGTTTTTTGCAGCTCACAGCAGCCAAGCCTCTTTTTTTTTTGTCTTTATAGTCCGATCAGTGAGCCATTTTTTGTCCTAAGCGAACCCCCTCCCCGATCTCTTTTTTTTTTTTTTTATACACCCCCACTTTTTTTTTTTTTTTTGACCCCGCCTTTTTTTTACTGGCCGCTGTTTTTTATTTTTTTAAAGACAAATTTTTTTTTTTTCTGGCGGTTTTCAGATTTTTTTTTTTTTTTTTTTATTTTTTTTATCAGGTTTTTTTTTTTTCAGGACAACATTCCATTTTTTTGGCCCCCGGGGGCCACCCCCCCCCCTTTGCTTGACATTTTATGAGGCCTTTTGTGTGGCCTGGACTGCAGCGCCACCTTGTGCCCACATCAGATGGCTGCAACCTCGGGCGCACAGCCGGACCATTTTTTTTTTTTTTTTTTTTTTTTTTTTTTTTTTTTTACTGAGAATTCTTTTTTTAAAATGAGCTTCAGATTTCCATGGAGACTTTTTTTTTTGGCACACGACTTTCTATCATCACCTCAATGAGTTTTTTTTTTTTTTTTATTTTTTTATTTCTGAATTTCTGTTTGATCGTTTTTTATTTATTTTTTTTTTTTTTTTTTTTATATTTTTTTTATTTATTTTTTATTTACCATCATTATTATAGATCTTATTTATTTAGAGTATTTTATTTTTTTTTTTTTTATTTATTTTTATTTTTTTTTTTTTATTTTTATTTTTTTTTTTTTTACGTTTTTTTTAATTATTTAAATCTTTTTAATTTTATTTATTTATTTACAGTTTTTTTTTTTTATTTTTTTGTTTTTTTTTTTTTTTTTTATTTTTTTTTTTTTTTTTTAATTTTTTTTTTAAATCTTTTTTAATTTATTTTTTTTATTTTAATTTTAATTTTTTTTTTTTTTTTGTATTTTTTTATTTATTTTTTTTTTTATTTTTATTTATAAACATTATTTAAATTTTATACATTTTAATTATTTAGAGTATTTTCTTTTTTTTATGTATTTTTTTTTTATTTTTTTTTTTTACTTTTTTAATCATTATTTAAGTTTTTTTTATTTTTTTTATTTAGAGTTTTTTTTTTTATTTATATTTTTTTTTATTTATTATTACTTTATAATCATTTTTAAAATCTTATTTATTTGATTTATTTATTTAGAGTGTTTTCTTTTTTTTTTCTTTATTTATATTTTTTTTTTATCTATTTTTTTTTTATTTTTTAATTTGTAATCATTATATAAATCCTATTTTATTTATTCATTTTTTTATTTTATTTTTTTTGTATTTCTTTATATTATCTATTATTTTATTCCTTTATAATAATTTTTTTTTTCCTATTTATTTTTTTTATTTAGAGCTTTTTATTTTTCTTTATGTATTAATATTTTTTTATTTAAATCTTATTTTATTTATTCATTTAGAATGTTTTATTTATTTATGTGTTTTGTTTGTCTTTTTAATTGATTCATTTTCTAATATTCTGGGTGTGGCCTCCACCGTGGCGCACCAATTGGGTCACAATCTGGGTCTGAACCACAACACGGCAGGACGGGAAGTGCGGTCAGCCCGGTACCGGGAAGTACTGGATCATGGAGCAGGGGACCAGGGCTGGGTGAGTGGTGACCCAGAGCAGAGCCCCTCCCACTACAGGGTGAGTGGTGACCCAGAGTAGAGCCCCTCCCACTGCAGGGTGAGTGGTGACCCAGAGCAGAGCCCCTCCCACTGCAGGGTGAGTGGTGA